ATGCTCACGCATGCTTGCTGGAAGTCCAAGCCCCTCGCACACAAAACCTCCTTTACCCCCTCCCTCCAACTTTCCTAGGCCAACCCCTACCCGCCTTCCCTCCACTACAGATTTATACACTCTTGAAGTCATTCTATTTCATTCCATTCTCTCTACATGTCCAAACTATCTCAACAACCCCTCCTCAGCCCTCTGGACAATAGTTTTGGTAATCCCGCAACTCCTCCTAATCTCCAATTATTATAACCAAAGAAAGCGCTAAACCGATAAAGGTCATACAGTTCTAATCTCCAAATTATGGATTCTCTGCATTATATTAACACCACACATTACCTTCAGACATGACACTTCCACTGCCTCAGTCTTCCCCTTGTTGCAACATTCACCACCCATGTCTCACACCCATAGAACAGTGTTGGTATAACTATACTCTCGTCTCAACAGACTCCTCAGTGCACCACTCACCTTTTTCCCTCGTCAATTCTATGATTCACCTCATCCTTCATAGTCACATCTGCTGACACGTCCACTCCCAAATATCTGAACACATTCACCTCCTCCATACTCCCTCCAATCCGATATCCAATCTTCTGTTGCCTTTTTTTTTTATCCTCATCACCTTACCCTTTCCTATATTCACTTTTAATTTCTTTATTTTACACACCCTACCAAATCATCCACCAACCTCTGCAACTTCTCTTCAGAATCTCCCAAAAGCACCGCGTCATCAGCAAAGAGCAACTGTGACAACTCTCACCTTGTGTCTGATTATCTTTTAACTCCACACCTCCTGCCAGCACATGAACATTCACTTCTCTTACTACTCCATCTACAAATATATTGAACAACCACGTTGACATCACACATCCCTGTCGAAGGCCTACTTTAACTGGGAAATAATCTCCCTCTCTCCTACATACTCTGAGCCTCGCTATCCTCGTAAAAACTCTTAACTGCTTTCAGTAACCTACCTCCTGTTCCATACATCTGCAACATCTGCCACATCGCCCCGCTATCCACCCTGTCATACGCCTTTTCCAAATCCATAAATGCCCATATCTTTACCCTTATCTAAATACTGGTCACTTAGCAAGAACTCGTTTAAAAATATTTCCGTTCTAAAAAAAATTCTTATAGGTTTAAAGATATATATTTTTCATTTATGTTAATGTAAAAATTAATAATTTTGTACCAAAAGAACCTTAGAAAACTTACCTAACCTCATTATAACAAGCGCAATTTAATTTAGCCTAATCCAACTAAATATATTTTAGATAAGTTTAAAGTAATTTAATAATAAACAAACACAACGAAACATTTTTTTTCGTTAGGTTCAGAATGATTTTTGCGAAATTAGTGCATCCACAAAATTTCGCTTCCCTTATTTGTCAAGAAGAGCGTTGCTATTTAAGATAAAATCGCAAGTCTTACATATTTGGCACGACACACACACACAGACACACACACACACACACACACACACACACACACACACACACACACACACACACACACACACACACACACACATAAAATACACACACACACCACACACACACACACACACACACACACACACACACACACACACACACACACACACACACACACATGGAAGACAGTAAATGTAGTCCCCATATTTAAGAAAGGAAACAGAAATGAGGCACTAAACTACAGACCCGTGTCTCTGACATGTATTGTGTGCAAAGTCATGGAGAAGATTATCAGGAGAGTGGTGGAACACCTGGAACGGAACAAGATTATAAATGAAAACCAGCATGGGTTCATGGAAGGCAAATCCTGTGTCACAAACCTTCTGGAGTTTTATGACAAGGTAACAGAAGTAAGACACGAGAGAGAGGGGTGGGTTGATTGCATTTTCCTAGACTGCAGGAAGGCCTTTGACACAGTTCCTCACAAGAGATTAGTGCAGAAGCTGGAGGATCAGGTGCATATAACAGGGAGGGCACTGCAATGGATCAGGGAATAACTGACAGGGAGGCAACAACGAGTCATGGTATGTGAAGAGGTATCACAGTGGGCGCCTGTGACGAGCGGGGTCCAACAGGGGTCAGTTCTAGGACCAGTGCTATTTTTGACATATGCGAACGACATGATGGAAGGAATAGACTCTGAAGTGTCCCCATTCGCAGATGATGTGAAGCTGATGAGAAGAATTAAATCGGATGAGGATGGGGCAGGACTGCAAAGAGACCTGGACAGGCTGGACATGTGGTCCAAAAACTGGCTTCTCGAATTCAACCCTACCAAATGCAAAGTCATGAAGATTGGGGAGGGGCAAAGAAGACCGCAGACAGAGTATAGGCTAGGTGGACAAAGACTACAGACCTCACTCAGGGAGAAAGATCTTGGGGTGACCATAACACCGAGCACGTCATCGGAGGCACACATCAACCAAATAACTGCTGAAGCATACGGGCGCCTGGCAAACCTGAGAATAGCGTTCCGATACCTTAATAAGGAATCGTTCAAGACACTGTATACTGTGTATGTTAGGCCCATACTGGAGTATGCAGCACCAGTCTGGAACCCACACCTGGTCAAGCACGTCAAGAAGTTAGAGAAAGTACAAAGGTTTGCAACAAGGCTAGTCCCAGAGCTCAAGGGAATGTCGTACGAGGAAAGGTTGAGGGAAATCGGACTGACGACACTGGAGGACAGAAGGGTTAAGGGAGACATGATAACGACATACAAGATACTGCGGGGAATAGACAAGGTGGACAGAGATAGGATGTTCCAGAGAGGGGACACAGAAACAAGGGATCACAACTGGAAGCTGAAGACTCAGACGAGTCACAGGGACGTTAGGAAGTATTTCTTCAGTCATAGAGTGGTCAGGAAGTGGAATAGCCTAGAAAGTGAAGTAGTGGAGGCAGGAACCATACATAGCTTTAAGAAGAGGTACGACAAAGCTCAGGAAGCAGAGAGGGAGAGCACCTAGTAGCGACCAGTGAAGAGGCGGGGCCAGAAGCTGAGTCTCGACCCCTGCAACCACAATTAGGTGAGTACACACACATATATGTAGTTGTGGTTGCGGGGGTCGATTCACAACTCCTGGCCCCGCCTCTTCACCTGGCCGCTACCCGGTCACTCTTCCCGCTCCGTGAGCTTTATCATACCTCTTCTTAAAGCTATGTATGGATCCTGCCTCCACTACATCACTACCCAGGGTATTCCACTTCCTGACAACTCTGTGACTGAAGAAATACTTCCTAACGTCCCTGTGATTCATCTGAGTCATCAGCTTCCAATTGTGACCCCTCGTAGCTGTGTCCCACCTCTGGAATATCCTGTCTTTGTCCTCCTTGTCTATACCTCTCAGTATTTTATATGTCGTTATCATATCCACCCTAACTCTCCTGTCTTCCAGCGTCGTCAGGTTGATTTCCCTTAACCTCTCCTCGTAGGACGTACCCCTTATCTTCGGGACTAGTCTTGTTGCAAACCTTGGCACTTTCTCTAGTTTCCTTACATGCTTGGCTAGGCGAGGGTTCCAAACTGGTGCTGCATATTCCAATATGGGCCTAACGTACACAGTGTACAGGGTCCTGTGTGTGTGTTGTGTGTGTGTGTGTGTGTGTGTGTGTGTGTGTGTGTGTGTGTGTGTGTGTGTGTGTGTGTGTGTGTGTGTGTGTGTGTGTGTAAGATAATCAGGTTTCATCCGAGGTAAAGGCAGAAAGAAAAAAAGCTCCACTTCCTCAGATCAAAAACTCTTCCAATGTATAAAGGCATGCTTTGAGGGAAATTAGGGAGAATAACACTTAATCTTAATTGTTAAAGGTGTGGTGGGGTAAGCCAGCGGAAGGCCTTGGTCAGATGACCAAAAACTCCAGCTCTGGGTCATCATATAACTAAGACCCGCGTCAGGAATCAGGAAAGACTTGTCCTGTTTCTTGACAAACCTTAACTAACCTAACCTAACCTAAAGGAAATAGAGAAAACTACACGTTCAGAGGTTTTTATATGGGCAATGTTTCGCTCAGTGATAAAACTCTGCTCACAGCGAAACGTTATTGTAATTAAAGTTTGTTCTACGTGTATATCTTCTTTACTATTGTGGGCAAAACGTTATTAATGGTTTAAAATGACGGAAATTTAATAAGAAACACGTGCAACACCTGGGTATCCGAAACGTTTCGCCCACGATGAAGATACCCAAGTACTACACATCTCATCCATAAGTGAAACATGAGGAAATATATGTAAATACAACAGACAAGAGTTATGCAAAGATTTGATAGAGATTGATGAGGCACTTGTGCAACATGTGTCTTTGTTCTGGAAACGTTTCGCCAGCCAGTGGCTTCTTCAGTCCAATGCAGAGAATGGTGGGAGATGAGGAGTTTGAGGTAATCAGTCCCTCAGCCTGGAGTTGATATCTTCAGTCCAAGACTGATGGACTGAACATATCGACTCCAGGCTGAGGGACCGATTACCCCAAACTCTTCCACCTCTCTCCGCGTCGGACTGAAGAAGCCTCTGGATGGCGAAACGTTTCAACAATAAAGGTGCTCAAATGTTGCACAACTCGAGGAGAAATGTTTTCCAATAATAAAGGCTTCAATATTACACAAATAACCCGGACATAGGAGAGAGAGAAAAGCTTAAGACGACGTTTCGCCCCCCACTCTGAACCATTTACAAGTCCGTGTTAATTTTGGTAGAATTACCCACAATGTTAGGTAAAAGGACACAAGTGCAACTAATGTGACATTTTATTGTCGCAACGTTTCGCTCTCCAGGAGCTTTGTCAAGCCATTACAAAGCTCCTGGAGAGGGAAATGTTACGACAACCTAGCTACACTTGTGTCCTTTTTTCCTAACATTTACAAGTCCGTCCAAGAAGGACCGAAACGTCGTGGTAAGCTCCTCTCTTCTATATGCGGGTTATATGTGCATTGTTCATGTTCTTTGCTTCCATATCTTGTGTGTTCTTTACTAACAAATAAATGAACGTAACAAGTATAACTGTAACTTACGTGATGGTCGTGGTCTGTGCGACGACTGGCTGGTGTGGAGAGGGATGGTCGTTCATATCGGTGTTTCCCGTATAACGGAGGGCGGCCACGAGGTCGGTACGATGTGTTATAACGCCCGCGTGTGTATGGTGGGCGGCCTCGTGTGGGCGTGTGAGAGGTAGAACTGTGCCGCGATGAAGCAGTGGAGGGCGTGGCAGTAAAACCTGGAGGTACGTGGGTGGGGTCGTCACCCACCTCGCACAGACCCTTAATCTTGAGTGTGTCTGCGGCCGCGAGGAGGGAATTGATCTGTTCCTGAGCCACGTCGATCTCCCCGCGGTAGACGAACTCGATAATGGCGCGTAGGTCCGCGAAGGCCACGTCCCGCGGCAGGATGACGATGGGGTGTTTGCATGGGTTGTTCTGCAACACAGCCTGGAAATAGGGCGAACAAGCTGCGAGAACCACCTTGTGTGCTCTCAACTGCTGGCCGCCTTCACAAGACAACGTCACATCCACGAACACCTGCAACACCAACAATGAATATAGAGATAGACAGTATAATAACATCTGACTATGATGGACAGTATAATCGACTAGATGACAGTATAATAACCTATGTGACTTGATGGGCAGTATAATAGACTAGATGACAGTATAATAACCTATGTGACAGTATAATACCTAAGTGACAGTATAATACCGTATGTGATATGTCGAGATATTTTATTAATAAAAATAAGATATCAGATATATTAAGAAAATTTCCTAAATTTGCTTGTAACAGATAAGTGAACTGAAGATATAAATCCAGATGTTCTCCTGTTAACCCTTTTGGGGCCTAGTTCCTAGGCCTATTGTGTATCCGTATGTTCTTGCACTACCATCCACAGGATGGATATGAGGTACACAATAAACTAGCCACTACCATCCACAGGATGGATATGAGGTACACAATAAACTAGCCACTACCATCCACAGGATGGATATGAGGTACACAATAAACTAGCCGTAGTACTACCATCCACAGGATGGATATGAGGTACACAATAAACTAGCCACTACCATCCACAGGATGGATATGAGGTACACAATAAACTAGCCACTACCATCCACAGGATGGATATGAGGTACACAATAAACTAGCCACTACCATCCACAGGATGGATATGAGGTACACAATAAACTAGCCACTACCATCCACAGGATGGATATGAGGTACACAATAAACTAGCCACTACCATCCACAGGATGGATATAGAGGTACACAATAAAAATAGCCACTACCATCCACAGGATGGATATGAGGTACACAATAAACTAGCCACTACCATCCACAGGATGGATATGAGGTACACAATAAACTAGCCACTACCATCCCACAGGATGGATATGAGGTACACAATAAACAGCCACTACCATCCACAGGATGGATATGAGTACACAATAACTAGCCACTACCATCCACAGGATGGATATGAGGTACACAATAAACTAGCCACTACCATCCACAGGATGGATATGAGGTACACAATAAACTAGCCACTACCATCCACAGGATGGATATGAGGTACACAATAAACTAGCCACTACCATCCACAGGATGGATATGAGGTACACAATAAACTAGCACCATACCACCCACAGGATGGATATGAGGTACACAATAAACTAGCAACTACCATCCACAGGATGGATATGAGGTACACAATAAACTAGCCACTACCATCCACAGAATGGATATGAGGTACACAATAAACTAGCCACTACCATCCACAGAATGGATATGAGGTACACAATAAACTAGCCACTACCATCCACAGAATGGATATGAGGTACACAATAAACTAGCCACTACCATCCACAGGATGGATATGAGGTACACAATAAACTAGCCATACCATCCACAGGATGGATTATGAGGTACACAATAAACTAGCACTACATCACAGGATGGATATGAGGTACACAATAAACTAGCCACTACCATCCACAGGATGGATATGAGGTACACATTAAACTAGCCACTAACATCCACAGATAGATGTGAGGTACACAATAAACTAGCCACTACCATCCACAGGATGGATATGAGGTACACAATAAACTAGCCACTACCATCCACAGGATGGATATGAGGTACACAATAAACTAGCCACTACCATCCACAGAATGGATATGAGGTGCACAATGCACTAACCACTTCGGTGGCAAAAATTTAAAATCAACAACACCTGTCACACACATGCACGAATATATGAAAAAAAAATTACCACAGTAAAAATAAGAAATAAAACCTGAGCACTTTAGTTCTTACACACCATCTTCAGAAAAAAAGGGAAGAAGAGGAAAAGAGAATACATTTTATAGTTAAACATGGGTGACAACACCACAAAACAACCCGACAAAACCAAACCCCACATACGTTTTTTTCAACATAAAGTTAAACTGTTTCCTGCAAAAAAAACCACACTGTATTATATGAAAAATAGTTTTCCCTTTAAGTTATGAAAAATATTTTGAACTCTAAACCTGTCAAGTTTATACAACCAAACACATATTTGAAATATGCTGTACTAACCAAGGGTTCTTTCCCTTTGTAATTTGTGAGTTCATTCTTTGAAATTTGAGTTATTCCCTTTTAAATGTGAGTTCATTACTTTGTAAATTGTGAGTTAAATTACCTTTGTAATTTGTGATTTTCTTACCTTTGTAAATTGTGAGTTCTTTCCCTTTTGAAAATTTGTGAGTTCATTACCTTTGTAAATTGGAGTTCTTCCTTTGAAATTTGTGATTCGTTACCTCTGTAACTTCCCTCAGCTATAAAACTTTGGAAGTCCAGTCCCTGGACCAATTAGTCCCTTTGTAATCTTTTGATCCCCCCACAGGATGGGTATGGGGTGCAAAATAAACATATTAAACTAAAAAATGTGCATCTACTTGATAACAAAATTCCACAATAATTCATTGGACCGAAAAACTACAAGGAAGTAATTTTGGATCATTCCAATATACACAATGGTTGTATCTTTACATAATGAACGGGTTTTTCTGTTACCGATATGCTATTTTACGGTTTCTCTTGCCCTTCCTCTAAAGCGTTGTAAGCCATAAAAAGTGCACGGGTTTAATGCGTGAAAAATTGCAACACCTGCCACACATACGTACGAAAACTTGCAACAGAACACCTGTGAAACTTCTGCACGAACTCCCACAACACCACAACCTAACATCTGTTACCCCTATGCAAAAAAAATCCACAAGGATTAGAATCTATGCATCACACCGAATACATTTACAATATTACAGAAGGAAAGAATAGGGAAGTAATAAAGAAAAGTAATAAAGGGATAAATAAGGAGGCAGAACAAATAAGATTAGGGAGAGAAATGATACAAAATCCCAACAGGATGGTAAGAGAGGGAAATACAATATAATGCGATGCTTTACTGACGATTTTTTCCCATGCCGTGGGTTCTAGGAAGTCAAGAACACAAACCTGGAGAGTCAGGTCAGGTGTGAGGCAAGTAATGGGTAAGTCAGGTCAGGTGTGAGGCAAGTAATGGGTAAGTCAGGTCAGGTTGAGCAATAATGGGAAAAGTAGGTCAGGTGGAGGCAAGAAGGGGTGTGTACTCTACCTACTGCAGTGTTACCCCCCGTATTTTTATCAAAGTGATGGATGAAACACTCCAGGCAGGGGGACTGTTACCTCAAATCCTCCCCTTTTCCACCCTTTTCTTGTTTTGGATGAAGCCCCTGGCTGGCGAAACGTTCCCCGAATCAAGTTTCCCAGTGTTGCCCCGTGTCGGAATTAAAACACATTTAAAAACCTTATTCACTTTTATAAAAACCCTTATTCCTTTAATAAAACCTTTTTCATTTCATAAACCATTTTTCACTTAAAAAACCTTTTTTACTTTAAAAACCATTATTACTTAATAAACCCTTATTCACTTTAATAAAAACCTTATTTCCCAAAAAAACCATTTTTCATTTTATAAACCTTATTCACTTTAATAAAAACCATTATTCACTTTAAAAAACCCTTTTTTCACTTTTAATAAACCATTTTTCATTTCATAAACCATTTCACTTTCAAAACCATTTTTCCCCCTTTTATAAACCTTATTTTATTTTAATAAACCATTTTTCACTTTTATAAACCCTTTTTTCATTTATAAACCATTATTCACTTTCTAAACCATTATTCACTTTTATAAACCATTATTCACTTTATAAACCAATTCACTTTAATAAAACCTTATTCACTTTAATAAACTTTTACTTTAATAAACCTTATTCACTTTTTAAACCTTATTCACTTTAATAAAACCATTTTTTTCACTTTAATAAACCCTTATTCACTTTAATAAACCATTATTTATTTTAAAAAACCATTTTCACTTTCATAAACCATTTTTTTCATTTTTATAAACCATTATCCTTTCAAAACCATTATTCAATTTAATAAACCCTTATTTATTTTATAAACCATTATTCACTTTCAAAACCATATTCACTTTCATAAAAACCCTTATTCACTTTCATAAACCATTTTTACTTTTAAACCATTTTCACTTTCATAAACCCTTATTCATTTTAAAACCATTTTCACTTTAATAAACCTATTCATTTAATAAACCATTATTTTACTTTAATAAAAACCTTATTCACTTTAAAAAAAACCCCTTTTTCATTTAATAAACCATTATTCACTTTAATAAACCATTATTCACTTTAATAAACCATTATTCACTTTCATAAACCATTATTCACTTTCATAAACCATTATTCACTTTCATAAACCATTATTCACTTTCATAAACCATTATTCACTTTCATAAACCATTTTCATTTCAAAAACCCTTATTCATTCATAAACCATTATTCACTTTAAAAACCATTATTCACTTTAAAAAAAACATTATTCACTTTAATAAAACCCTTAATCCTATAATAAACCTTATTCATTTATTTTAAAACCATTATTCACTTTAATAAACCTTATTCACTTTAAAAAAAAACCATTATCACTTTCATAAACATTATTCACTTTTTTTAAACCCCCTATAGAAATCTTCTTAGTGTTTCAACTGACGGATCTAGGGGTTTCTGGCAAGGACTCTGCGCGGTGTAAAGTGTTTCGGTCCTGGGACCTTGATCCAAACCCCCGGGCCGAAACGTTTTTAATTTTCCCAGTGTTTACTATGTGTTTTTTTAAAAACCCGGGGGGTTTTTACAAACACCTTCGTAATCAGGGCACAGAACTGTCCCTACTGTTTTAGTACCCCAGGGCACATACTCGCCCCCCTACTGTTCTGCCTCGGGCACAGACTCGTCACACTACTGTTCTTTTTCCTCAGGGCCGTACTGCCCCCCCAAAATGTTCAGTTTCAGGGGACAGTACTCGTCCCAATATGTTCATGACCTCAGGGCACAATACTGTTCCCCCAAAGTTCATGTACCCAGGGCACGTACTCGTCCCCCTACATTTTTGTACTCAGGGCACAGTCTCTTTCCCCTAC